TCCTTCTGTCCTTCTCCCCATCACGGGCTGAAGGAGGCAGCACTCCCCTTGGAGGACCATCTGAGTGGTGGGGCTCAGCTCAACCAGGGGACCTTCTATGCCAGGGCCACCACAAAAGGCAATGGCAATACCCCCAGGTCCAGCACAGGCAGGGACATGAGGGACACAGCCTGGCTAGGGCAACCAGAACCGAGACATAAAAAGCACTTTGCACTGCGGTCATACTATCCCCTCGTCCCTCCCCCTCATCCCCTTCGGAGCTTCTTAACTTCAGAAACCTCCCTCCAGAGGAGTGTTGGAGTGACAGAAAACATTTTCCAAGCCTAATATCAGTTCCAGATGTTCACAGCCATTTCAGTTTGTACCTCACCCTGTAAAACACATTTCTCCCTCTCCCTCTCTCAAGTGCAGCGCCTGCTTCGTCCATGACATCATGGGCTGGCGGCTCGGCCCCGCACACACTCACACACACTCACACGGCCTCGCCGAGAGCCCCACGTTCAAACAAAGAGCATCACTCAACTACAAAGCCGTCGCACACATGGAGTTATGAGTAATTTCACAAGTTTTTAATAAACAGTTGGGGATGTAATTGCTCCTCTGTCTTCTCCGCTGGCTCCCGAGCGCGGAGCCGCTCGCTCCCCGCGCGCTGGTGTTGAAAGCGTGGTTTGTTTCGCACACAAGTTCACCTCCTATTAGCCTCAGATGGTCCAAGGGCTGTGTTTTTCTAAGCACCAGTAATAAGCCTCTTAAAAAAAGCACGTACAGCCGGGGGCAGCTGACCCACATGAGCTCCTGGCTCCTTCCACCCCATCCCGCAGCATCACCACCCCGTGCAGAGCCCAGCAGGGAGCAGAGGGGATGCATCTTAGACCAGCCTCGAAACTCCCTCCTGAGATTGCTCCAGGAAGAAGAGGAGCAAGTATTTTCTGGCTCAAGGGAAAGGCTACACCTTCCAGTTGCAAAGCAAAGGGGAGGCCAAGGAGTTTTGCAAGGGTGAGAAACTGGGGGCTTTTGGGGGGCAGGAGGGAGGCAGAAGGCAGGTTAGGCAGAGGCCAGGTATCATCTAGCTTGCCATGGGGCTGAAGAGCAGGTTGGCACAGCTCTAGCCCCAGCCAATGCCAGGAATCCCAACAAGAAATGGCTACAACTGCAGTAAAACAAACAAAAACCCTGTACAAACACAAATAACCCACACGCTTAAACTCCAGTGATCCAAGGGATGAACGGCAGAAGCACCAAGAGCCCTCAAACCTTGCAGGTTCCTCCCAGCCCAGCATTGCCACGCTCTGCAGACACCTGTGGTGCACCTTCCAGCAATGGGAACAACCCATTTCTACCTGCCCATGGTCACCAGACTGGTGGGGAAGGAAGACCTGCCAATATTCATCAAAAGCCATCCAAATTTCATATCCCCCACCCCCCTCCCCAAGGCTTCCTTCTTCTGGGGTTGACTTATTTATTTTGGGGATGCTGCCCAGATGCAATGGAGATGTGGTGCAGCACGACAGATGGGTGACAGTGGTGATGGGGTACCCATGGTAGGATTTTTGGTGGGGTGAAGCACGATACCAAGCAAAGGCTTTAAGAACTATAGCAGTCAGCATCTCTGCAAACCTACGCAAGGTATTTGCAAGAATCAAGTCATCTGGCATTAGGGGCCTGTAGGGTAAGAAAGGAATGAAGGCAGGAATGCTGTTTCGTTATAAACAACATAGGAAAAAAGAAAAGAAAGGGGGAGATTTAGGGTTGGCTTTTCTCTTTAATTGTTAATGGGGTCATTCTGTCCCAAATGGTCCCCCAGAGCAGGGAGAGGGGAGGGCAGCTCCCCACAATGAATTCAATCGCCTGTCAAACACATGGCAGTCATAAAAAGAAAATAATAATAATAATCTGTATTTCCTACTCTGGCTGCCAGGCAAAGATCCAGCCACTTCAAAGGAGAAACCCCACGTTTCCCCAGTCTGGCCTCACCTGACCGATGTGTGAGCAATCTGGAATCCCCATCCAAAACAAAGCCCCTCCTTTGGTGGCTTGTTTTCTTTCTCCATTACCGGAGGGTGCCCCTCCAAGATAAAGAACAAGCCTTCTTCCATGCCGGGAAACTGGAAACATAACCCAGGGGCCATGGCCACCTCGGGCAGCTCTGGAAGTGGATGCTGGCAAGGTGTAGGAGAAAGCTCCTGTGGGACTGGACTGGTGTATGAGCCAGGAACCAGAGCTCCTTCTTGCAGGGGTCTCCACAAACAGCCAAGGCCCCCCAGAACGTGGGGCTCTGGCTCTCTCCAGCAGGAAAAGCTCAGCTCTTGCAGCACAAAAATTTTGGATATGGTGGTAAAAGAGGCTGAAGAAGCAGAATAGAAGGGTCTGAGATGAACAGAGAGGGTGAAAGCTTCCCTGTGGCTGCGAGCTGGAGCACTTTCCTCTGTGGCAGCTCATGGCAGCAGAGAGCTTTGGCCCAGAGGGTCTTATGAAATTAGCGAGGAGAAGAAAAAAGCCACCACCACAAGCACAGAAAGCTTCCAACCAAGACCCAAGGACTGTGCAACTCTAGTCTTTCTCCGAGTGAACTTCTTCAGATTGCCTGCCTGACAGGGAAACACAGACAAGCGTCTTCCCAGGATGTCCAGGAAGCCCCCTGGAAGATGGCAGGAGCACAGCAAGGTTCCTCCCTCCAATGTCAGCCACGTCCCCAAGTCCGGTCAGGTCCCTTGTCCTTGCAGGCAGCCCGGACATACGTGCCTTGCATAAGCTCACCAGGCTCCACCTTAAAACAAATGAGTTTTTTAATGACCCAAAGCTGTTGCAGAGCCTTGCTCCAACAATGGGTGAAAACTCTCTTTCTATGCTCCCTTGCCTGGGGGTTTGAAATGCAGTACTGCCAGCTCTGGGGGAAGGAGCCCTTCACACAAAGGTAAATCTCTGCTTTGGTCAACAACACTGGCCGTCCCCTGACATGTCACATGAGCTTCTTTAACAAACAACATCCAAAATCCTCCAGCAAAGAGCAGTAGGAGGTTTTGCCTGGTTTTCCATGCAGCAGCAGCATCACTCAAGGTCACAAATCTAATACCGAAATACATCATTGATTCACCCAAAGCAAACCCCATCCTTCACACCCCTCCACCTTGCCCAGCAGCTCCTGGAGCATGACCCGAATTGCTGACAAAGCCTTTGCAACGCACAGAGCACTCAGTCCAAGCCTGAGCTGGGAATCAAACTCCAACCCAGGGAAGTTTCAGGTTCCCCTGGTGATGTTTTGTTGAATTGCTGACAAAGCCTTTGTAACGCACAGAGAAGTTTCAGGTTCCCCTGGTGATGTTTTGTGATGCTTATATGATCCCTCCAAGTACTGCAGGCTTTAAGTTACTTCATTAGGTGTGCAAGGGAACTTAAAGTGTCCTTTCAAAGGCTGGCATGCGATGCAATACTCACTGGGACGGACCAGTAAAGCCCTTGAGGTGTTGAGGGCTGACCCTCCTCCCACACCCACCATCCTGCAGCATTTCAGCCTCATCAGATCAGTCACTTCAGCCAGAAACTCCAACTCACACCTTTCCTACCCAAAAAGGGCAAAAAAATTCCTACTGCTGGGCTGCGCTTTTGTATTTTCCCTTCCCCTCAAACACCCATGTTCACAGAAACCTTCAGAAACCTCTCCTGAATGGAGGAGCATCGTGGTTTAGGCTGGGCTGGCCAATGATAAGATGACAGATGATCTCTCCCACCCCTTGCTCCAAGGAGAGTGAGAAGAGAGATAAAGAGACGTGTGAGTCCAGGAAAAAAACCCCACTAATTTAATGAAATATTAATAATAGAACAAAAAGGAAATAATGAAATAGATATGATATATATAAATAAATATAAAACTGCATGAAGTTCCCAGGAAGATGCCACCAGCAGGGAAAGTTCCAGACTAGACTCAGTAACAACAAGAATTGGATTTCAGAACTCACCAATGGGGACTGAAGGTAGACAAACCCTTAGGGTCCTTCTCAGACATCAGTCATTGACAAAAGCAAGCCATTGAAGAAGAGTCCTTGAAGAGGAGCCAACCCAACCCCTTTCATCCCTCAGCTTTTATACCCAGTGGGGCAGATGGGAAGGAAAACCCCATTGGTCAGTTGGGTCAGTTTGTCAACAACTTTACCTGTTGACTCCTCCCCACAGGTGGGACCTGTGATGATGAGGGGTCTGGAACATCTCCTTTATGAGGAGAGGCTAAGGGACTTGGGTGTTTTTAGTTTCAAGAAGAGAAGGTTGAGGGGGGATCTGATCAACGCTTATAAATACTTAAAGGGTGGGCGTCAAGAGGATGGGGCTGGTCTTTTTTCAGTGGTGCCCAGGGACAGGACAAGAGGGAATGGGCAAAAACTTGAATATAAGAAGTTCCACCTAAACATGAAAAGGAATTTCTTTACTTTGAGTGTGGCAGAGCCCTGGAAGAGGCTGCCCAGGGAGGTTGGTGGAGTCTCCTTCTCTGGAGACATTCAAACCCACCTGGACATGTTTCTGTGCAACCTGCTCTGGGTGGACCTGCTTTGGCAGGGGGCTGAACTAGATGATCTCCAGAGGTCCCTTCCAACCCCATGTGATTCTGTGACCCCCTCCATGGGGTAACACACTGATTGAGCTGACCCCAATTGCCATGGCAACGAGTGTACGCAAGAGCCTCTCACTGAGTGAGAAGTTTGTATTTATTTACATATATTGTATCTATTTAATTATTTCCTTTTTATTCTATGATTAATATTTCATTAAATTAGTTATTTTTTTCCTAGGCTCAGACCTTTCTTTATCTCTCTTCTCACTCTCCTCGGAGCGAGGGGTGGAAGTGAGCATCAGTGGACCAGGACAAGTGGGTTTGACACCTCAGGTAACACCTTGGCTCTATTCCCTGTTTTCCATAAAAGCAGCAGGTCCCAGCCAGGTGGGCCACAGGATGTGTCCCCCATGGACCCCCTGCACCCTGAGGAGCTCGCTCTCGCAGCCGAACCCACCTGTGTAGAGGTCCGTGTCCGTGTACTCATCCACCTTCTTGTGCTGCAGGACGTAGTCAGACACCTTCGTCCCAATGGCCGGCTGCACGTCCAGCCACTCCAGAGAGACCACGGTGCTGGAGGGCTCCACGTTGGGGGAGAGCCGTAGGCTGGGCAGGAGACAGGAAAGAAACCAAATAGGACATCAGCTCCCTTTTTTGGGGAGGAATCCACCTTCTATAGGGAGCATAACCCCTGGCAGGGCTCATGCTCACACACAGGACAGGGGGCACAAGGGGAGAGCGTGTAGGTGAGCACAGAGTAACTTCCCGTTGAAGTTCAGTTGGGTGTAGCCAACGTGTGTCCTTACCTCCCCCTGCTCCAGTGAAAGCCTTGCTCACGCAACTGCAACCGCAGAACCCCAAATATCCATGGATTCATGGATTTGACAGAGTTGGAAAGGACCTCTAGAGATCATCTAGTCCAACCCCCCTGCTAAAGCCGGATCGCCCAGAGCACAACCCATCTAGAGGAACCTCCATCTCCTGGGAGAGCTCCCGAACTTCAGCAGCCCTGTGGGGAACTGGGGACCAGCTGCCCCAGGAGCAAGAGAGAAGGGGAGGAGGACCCAGCTCTAACCTTTGTGCAACCCAGCAGGGCTGAGTCTTGAGGAGGGGAGGGTCTGGTCTGTGCTGCCAGCGAGCCAAAGGCGAGGGAGGGAGGGAGGGAGAGAAGGGGCAGGTGTGGCTGTGAATTTACCCAGCTGCGAATGAGCAAACCTCTGGTGGGTGTCAGCAGAAGCCAGAGCAGGGCAGCTGTGCAGGGACCACGTGAGTCAGGGTGAAGGCAGAGCAGCTTCGTGCTCCTGGCCGTGACAAGCACTAAGGCGTCCCCTGCTCTCCGCGCCGGGGTGAACCACAACACACAGCACAGGGCTACGGAGACGCCAGCTCCAAACATACAAGGCTGTTTGTTGAACTCGGGCTGGGAAATGAATCCCCTCTGAGGATATTGGCTCGCTGAGAAGGTGTTCTGCTCCTCATGGATCGCTGGAGCCAGCCTTCCTGCTTTCTCAGCTAATTTCCCATCAGCTTGCTCCCGATTTGCTCTTGCTCTGACAAGCCACAATGAATTGCACTGTAATTCCATTTCTTTCAGCATTAGAAATCCCATTCTACAAGCCCCGCTAATCAGGTGATGAAAATCTATAAGGAAACCTTTCCAGGGCCACAGCCGGAGCCAGGATATCCTAAAGGCATCAGTCACACAGCCAGGAGCGCTGGACGGCGGCCCCGGGGCTCCAAGGCCAGAGGAAGGAGGTTGCCCGTGGGCAAGGGGCTGGTGCTGGGGGGCCAGGACCCGCGGGAGGGGCTCGCACGGATACGTACACAGGCGGAGGGAGAGGGCTGCAGTTGGGGAGTCCGTTCTCGTCGAAGGCGTTGAGGTCACACCTGCACCAGTCTTCGATAACGTCGCCTTTCCCCGAGCACCAGTATGAGCTCATCAGGGCTCCCTTGAAAGCCTGACGTGAGAACAAAAAGGGTGAACACGTGCGGGTCGAGACTCAGGGGAAATATGGTGGGTTGGCCAGGCAGTGCTGAGCGTCAGGGGTGGGTGTACACGGAGCTTGGGGATTGGGAAATATCAGGGGGATCCTCCCTGGCTCTGCCACAGACTCTCTGCATGGCCCTGGGCAAGTCATAGAATCATAGAATTGCCCAGGCCAGAAGGGACCTCCAAAGGTCATCTAGTCTGACCTCCCCGCAGTCAGCAGGGACACCCCCAACTAGACCAGGTTGCCCAGGGCCTCGTCGAGCCTCTCCTTGAATATCTCCAGGGAAGGGGCCTCAACCACCTCCCTGGGCAACCTCTTCCAGTGCTCCACCACCCTCACAGTCCCTTCATCTCCCTGTGCTTTAGCTCCCGTGGATGGAGGGATGCTGGTTCATCCCCAGGCGCTGTTTTTGGCGTGGGGATGGGGATTATCTGCACGATGCCTCCTACAAAAGGGATCTCCTGCAGTGGAGAACTGAGCTGCCTGAAGAAACACAGACCACAGCCCATTTGGGACACTGGAGATCACACGTAGAGTACCTTTACACTGGAGCTGCCCACGGTGAAACTCTTCCACCATCCCATCCTGTAGCTGTTTCTGTCCCCACTAAGTAACTCCTACACCACCAACAGCACAGACCAACCTTCCTACACCACCAACAGCACCTTCCAACCTTCTCATACATTTGTTATTTATACCAGCTGCCCTCCTGCAAGCAAACTGCTGCTTTATTCGCTTGCATAAGGAATACCCACAAGCAAAATGGGAGTATGTGAAAGAAAAAAAAATAAAATCCTGTAAAATACTTGCCGGGTTTTCCCCAGCTGGGCAATGTCCCCTCTTCAAGTTGTCCCCAGCCTGACCAGGAGCCATCCCAATGGCTCCTATTGATGCCAATGGATCCCCAGAATAACAGCTGTCCAGCTGCTGGGGTCAGAGCCTGAAATGCTTTGAATTCCCAAAGCTCCCCAGGTCTAACCTTGTGGTGTCTTCCCTGCGCCCATCCCACAGCTCGGGGTGCTCGGTGTCGGTCCCCACACTGCAGGATGGGACATCCCTGCTGTAGGTCAGACTTCCTGGTGGTTTCTCTGCTACTTTTGCCTGTCGTGGCTAATTAACCCTCCAGCTTGGACGAAAGCATCTCTCCCCACACACACACACGCGGCCAACGCTCAACCAGACCCTGGGAAACCACAACGCCCTGCTAAGAATAATCATAACACCAAAACTTCACCCGCCGAAACGGACCTCTTTGTGAGGCTTTTGACCTTTCGAAGGGCACATTTCGGGGCTGAAACGCCTTCCCAGGTCCTCATCCATGTAAAACAGCCTCGCTGCCAGCCTTCCCCCCAGCCCAGCTCCCAGCAGCTCCTCTATTCCCAGCCGCCTGCGGATGCCTGGCCCCGGCGATACCGCCCGCGCCGGCAGGTTACGCCTTCGAGATAAAACCCTGCCCTTTGAGGAGGACAGGGACGGCTCCAGCGGCTGCGGCATTTAGTAAAAAACTCGAGGAAAAGCGCCATCCCGGGGAGGTTTCTGAAAAGGGGAAGGTATAAATAGAGCCTGACGTCAGGGCTCCCATTGTCCCGGGTTTTGTCGCTCTCCCCCAAACACCCCCCCCACCCCCCCAGCACCTTTAACGAGGCGCCTCGAGCCTCTCGCCTCTGAAACATTTTCTGCTTCCAGGCATTTACAAAATGGGACTGTTCCAGAAGGGGGAAAAAAAAAAAAAAAAAAAAGGAAGGAAAAAGCATGTGAAAGAGAGAAAATGTGACGTTATTTTATTTTCTTCTTTAGAATGTAATTGAAGCACTGGGCTGGAAAGGACATCTCAAAGTAATTGGAAAGCAGGGGAGACAGAGAGGAGTTTATCTGACACATGGATAAATGGGTACAGACACAATTCCATAGAGAGCGGCGGGTCTGTGCAGGATGGAAGCAGAAAGCTCTAAAAATTCAGTGAAAGCCATGCACATGGGTGGATGGGAAGCGTGTGCTCTCCCCAGGAAGCAGGAGAAATACATATGTTGTGGGTGCGGGTGTGCACAGACAGATGTTGGGTGATCCCTGGAAGAGCTGTACCATCACACCCGTGGCACTGCTCCACTGTCACCCTGTCCCCAACCCTGACCCCTGCAGCTCTGAATGCTCCCTGGTCCCTAACCCAGCTCCTCCCTGCACATCCCCAACCCAGGGCAGGAATCCCACCCGTCCCATCCATGCCCTTTCGCCAAATCCAACGGTCAATTCCTTCCTTCTATGTTCTTTTTTCCGACGGTAGGTGCAGGGCTGGATGAGCAAATCCCCTCTGCTCTGCCTGCCCAGCCTCATGCACGTTTTAATTAGATCCTGCAGGTACCCAGCCGTCATCTGCCTTGTGTCAACCTTCACACAAACGAGGTTAGCTAATCGATGCGTCCTTCAATTGCGCTCATTAAGGCGAGCACACCTACGCGCACTAACCGGGTTACTCAGCGCGCGGCCGGCCCCCAGAGCTGGCTGTTGCCTCCATCCCATTTCCAGGAGCCCGTTGATACTGGGATGGCCGAGCAGCCAGGACTCACCCTCCCTCACTTTCCAGTGGGATTTCTAGCCAGTGGTTTCCAGGATTTTCCTGTCGGCGCTGGGGAGCATATGTTGAAGGGTAGGGAAGGGACAAGAGTGATCTGATGGGGGGAAATGGGTAAGATCGTGAAGAAAGAAGGGACAAAGCTCCCCATACAAAGATGTTCATCATCACTTTAGGAAGCTCTACATCCTCCATTGGGACAACAGCCCGCTCCCTTACTCCACAGAAATTCCAGAACAAATAGAAGGTCTCTTGAGCTTCAAGGACTCTGGTCCTCCCAGCCCTGAAGCCAGGAACAGCTTTTGGTGTAGTTCACACAGAGCTCACCCTTCCTTCCCTCACCTCCACCAGCCTGGTCCAACAGCTCAGGAAAACCAAGAGCAACGGACAAAGGATGAAGCAAAGGTGCTGAGACCCCCCCCATGGGCAGTCGCAGCTTTCAGGAGAGCTGCAGATGGGAACACACAGGGACCTCCTCGGTCTGTGGTGGCCAAGGACAACCTTCCCCTCCTTCCTTGGAGTGGGCACCTCCACATGTCTTGTCCTTCCCTGTTGCCATGCTCGGAAAAATGCAGCAAACACTTTCCTCCCTACCAGGAGACAGCATGTACAACAAGAAGACCATCTCCAACATGACCATCCATCTCTGCATCAGATGTTTCGCCATGGTGGTCACGCCAAGGTACCAAGCTGGGAAAACCCAAGAGGTTCTGGAAGTGTGAAGGGCTTCCCAGGAGCAGCCCTGCCTGCTGGGGATGGCAGAGTGGCCCCCAACACACCATCCTGCGCTTGCCAACCGCTCCCCAGGATCTCAATGTCCCCCTGTGCCCCCAGGCAATTTTATCTTTCATTTAAAAGTATCCAAATTGTATTGTTTCCCTGTGAGTCAGCCCATTTAGTTTATGTCCTTCAGTGCCAGAGGGGAAATTTATGAGATGAGAAACTGGCTCGAAACGTTTATTTTCTAGATGACGAGTCATGCCATTAGATATATAGCATTATGAATCATAGGAACAGCATCTAATTTGCTCTTAAAGGTATAATAGGTCTGACTCCCCACACCCATACACACACATATATTGGATTGATAGTTCCCCCATAGGATGGCTAGTTCATTTGTTTTGACATGAGCAAGACTTACAGGACCATAAAGTCCCATCTTACCATAAGTTAAGCCTATTCATAAAAAAAATATTAGGGAAACGAATGATCAGCTAAGCACATTCATCCTACACTCCATTGCATATGGATCTTTCTCCTGTTGTTATTTGTGCTCAGGGGGAGGCCATTTGGCCCCGTTTTATAGCTTAGACGCTCTGCAACAGAATATAGAAGAACATTTCCTTTGTCCTCTGTTAGACCTGGCTGATGGAGGGAGAAGCATTAAGTTATTTCTGACCGTGGGTTTTCTGTTAACATCCCCAGAGAGGTAAATTATAGGATGTGAAGGAACCTTTCAGATCAGCATTTGCAGGACTCAGCACGCACCACAGGTCCTGGTGTTTCCAGATGGGGTACTGGAAAGGGCATGTTTTGGGTGCTTATCTGCGTTTGAACATCTGGTCATCTCCATGGCTGACAGAGACAGGAAAATCTGGCTTGACTGTTTCTTTGAGTCTAGGTTTCTCTGTGGTTGGTATGCACACCCCAGTTTCTGGAAAAATTATAAAGGAAGTACACGGAAATGAAAAAATATGAGCATGGAGGCTGGACACAGCTATCCTGGAGATACCAGAGATGATCTAGAAGGTGGCCGTTTGGTACCTTTTGAGCTTTGCACTAATTTCCCTGGTCTTTGTTTGCTTGTTTGTTTTTCTTTTTCTAAATGTAGAAGGAAGAGAAGAGTGTGAGCAGGCTGGGTCATACGAATGGACAGACTCAGCCCCATGTCCAGGGACATGGCAGCCAAGGGAGACATTCTGTCCCTTCCCATCTGCAGGATGGAGATGGTGCCTACACCACCACCACCACCTTCCCCCAAGCACGGGTGGGTGCCACCAGAGGAGGCAGAAGGGCTGCCTGGCGAGGCACAGCCCAGTTCTGCTCACCAACAAACCCCAGTCACTCAGAGATGTCACCCCATACGGTGCCTGACAGAACCGGGCCACTGACTGGAGCTCCCAGGTGCTCCAAGCAGTCTGTAGATAGCAACAGAAATATTGACCATTCATCAAGGGAAAGAAGGTTATGGGATGCAGGCTCCCGCAGGGATTTCCCAGCCTGAATGGGATGCTACCATGAAGATAGGGTGGCTGGAGGAAAAGCTTTCCATGCCCTCACAATAACGCTGAGTGCTGTTCACAGGAGATAAATGCTGCTCCTTGGTCTAGACTTCTCTGGGAGGAGGGGATAAAAAAAAAAAAAAAAAGCGCAAAAGAGGAGGAAAACTGAGGATTTC